TGAAAACAATGTTGCACGGTGGCACAATTTCGTGGATTGGTTGAGGTTAAACATTAACACTGTTGAATGTTGGCCGGTCCAGTGGTCTAGTGGTCAAGTGTTCACACGAGAGACCGAAGGTTCTGGGCTCGAAACTCTCGAGTGAATCGTGGATGATCACTACTGAGGATCCCTATACTACGACGAAATGGTCGTCCCATGCTTCCAGGTTTTCCATAGTTGTCTAACTTTAATTGACTCATGCATTCAACTATTAAATATATATTTATTATATCCCAATGAGTAGAAAAATTGTATTTCTGACGTTTCGTGACTTGATGTAATCCACTTCTTCAGAGTAAATAAATAACCGTCCAGTGCTTCCAGGTTTTAAATGGTGGTCTAACATCAATCGATTCATGATGTCAATTAAAAAAAAACGAAAATAAACTAACACTATTTAAACCTGTGGTAATTTAATATCGGTTATTTATTTACTCTGAAGAAATGACTTACATTAAGTCACGAAACATCAGAAATATAATTCACCTACTCATTGGGATATAACAAATTGTATACTTATTATCAACTCTCTACCCAATACTCAATTTAATTGAAATGATCAAGTCCAGCTTTGGTACTGTTATATATCCATGTGTATTGTTTAGCTGTAAAATGGCATTATATTAAATAGTATGAGGAGAGAGTAAGGGGTTCTCAAGAACAGTTGGATATCGAGCTTTTTTTTCTGTTTATTTAGCAAGGGGAATGTTGCATATAAAAATGTGATTTACGTTGAGGACTTTATTTTAATTATTCTAAAGTTATACATATATTTGTCTTTTATGAACATTCTACTATAAGTTATTCCAACTTATTAAATGAGCAAATCGAAAGGCGGATACAGCGACAGTTAGAGCTTGAAATAAGATTTTCGATGAAAATTATGATCTTATAGGCAATTTTCATTTATTTATTTTACTATCAGCTCTTAAATGTCCTGGAACGGCCGAGGGTGGGAGGAGTCAGCTCTCCCTCTCCAAATGCACTTGGCCACGCATGTACAACCACTGACAGGGAAGTTCTTCTCACTGCCTGCTCGTGGCATTAATGTTGTTTACGAAAGTGAGAGGACGAAAAGTGAATGTCCGGCGCTCTGACCTGGTTGGTGGATACGGATGATCCACCTAGGGAGCCGGAAAACCTTGATTCCTAACCAACGGGCTCCAGTATCCTGAGGAAACAAACGGCGTATGAACCTATTGTTGGCCATCGGCTACCATAGGGTTGTATCTCCTGACGTCGCTCCATTCTCTTGTGGATTAGGTTTTTAGATGAAAGGCTCAGGGAGTGGCCTCACAAGAAAACCCAGTCAGTATCTCAGCACACACACAAATTAAGTGGCTTGCGTGGCGCATATGTATTCGGTGTATGTATGTCAGTGGATCAGTGATATCTATCAATTTCTTTGTTCAGTGTGAAGTAGTTTAATTCAACAAACATTTTCATATTTGTATATGCTAGGCTACTACTAGTTACAATTAATGTTTAGACGAACTAGTTATAATTAAATGATCGTTGATTAATAACCAACGTCATTTTTTTAGTCTCACTGTGTTCATCGAATCCTATTAGTCGAGTTGCAACATGGTTACTAGTCTTAGTGACTCGATGTTGTGTTCATTTTATTTTGTTTTTCGGTGTTTGTAAATTAGTCCACAGTAAATCCTGTATCCATGGTTCGTGCTAGTTAGTATTCATCAGCAACGTGTGCCTACAATTAACAGAACTCAATCAGTACTAAATAACTAGACAAACACGATATTGTTCATTACTCAATGCTCAAACAAGTTACATATCTCTATCCTACAGGAGGTTAATTATGGCTCAAATGATGCTCAGTGATGCCGATTCAAATCTCACAGGGATCATCAGTTCACTTGAGACTTCAAATATCTCTTCTTGACAAGTCCCAACTAGTAAAATGCTTAGTTTCAAGGTGTTGTGCTATCTATGCCATGGCTAACTAACAGGAACTAGTTATACTATCTACTTTACTAAAATCTCTATAGCTACAGACCGTTTTATTCTCTATATTCATCATCAACTAATGATCGTTGAATTATAGTTGTACATTTTGAACATCGACATTTTAAACATTCAATAAATATTACTTCCAATATTTTCTTTAGACCTATATTAAAAACTATATTTCACCTGATATTGTTTACTTATATCTTCCCAACGGTACTGGATTCGAGTCTCAGAGTGAACACGTACATTCAGTTAACGAGTCTCAAATAGGACGAAACACACGTTAAACTGCATTCTACTACTAGACGCCATTTATCTTTGCTTATAAAATTAAACTATATTTGTTGTTTATATACAGATCACAAAATCCCTATCCTTAACATACTAGTTTCTCTTAGAAACAAAAAAAAGCGAGAGAGAAAAAATCGGTTTTGTTTGTTGTTGTTGTAACAACCTAAAACGTACAAATACACAGTTCATAGAAGTACTTTTAGTGAATACGATTCTAACCCAAGTGATTTATACCTTTATATATTTAACTAAGAAGAATGTTTCTATGCAGCTAACTTCCTTGGTCGTTTTGTTTATTATTATTATTATTATTATTTAAATACAAAGAAGCCTATTTTCTCCTTGATTCATACACAATTAGTTTACATGTGATACTATTGTGTATATCATATGATCTAAGCATAAAATTTATAGTAAAAAAAAACAACGAAAAAAATACCATCTTTGAATCATATATCGGTTTTCGGATTCTTCCTTCCTGTGTGTGTATGTTTCCTTTTATTATGCATTGAATTATTTAATACGTGAATTCATGAGTCAATTAAAGTTAGATCACTATGAAAAACCTGGAAGCACTGGATGGTCGTTTCGTCCTAATGTAGTATTCCTCAATGGTGCTCACCCAAGATCTGCTCATTAGTAACTGTCTTCAAGAGGTATTTCCTGGAGTTCTAGTGAGAAGTCGTGACCAGTGGAGTTCAATCAGGTCTGTTGTGAGGCGGTGATTCACTGAAGACAATGGTGGATGGTGGTGCAATTTCGTGGATTAGTTGAAGTTACAAAATAACACTGTTGAACGCCGGCCTGCCCAGTGGTCTATAGGTTAACCGTTCTCACGCGAGACCGAAGACCTTAGGTTTGAATCCCGCGAGTGAATCGTGGATATGCACTGCTGAGGAGTCCCAAAGTAGGATGAAACGGCCGTCCAATGGTTCTAGGTTAACCATGGTTGTCTAGCTCTAATTGACTCATGAATTCAACTCTTAAACTACCACAATCAACACAAAACCTTATTTCTGATAATTGAATTAGTTCACTTCTTCAAAGTTAAATAGTACATTTTCATGCTAGAAAGCCCTATTTTTCCAATATTTTATTTGAAAAGTGAAGTTAATGGCTTGAGAATCTGAAATTTGGTTGGTTTCTTGAACTAAATATTACATTAGTTAAAATAATGAGTTCTTAATGTTTGCCGGGTAAATAGTACGGTACGGTACGAACAGGATCGTGGATGTGCACTGTTGAATAGTCCCATACTAGGATGAAATAACCATCCAAGACTTCCAGGTTTTTAATGGTGGTCTAACATCAATTAATTCGTGATTTTAATCAGAAACATGATAGTAATCCGTAGTTTTGGATTGATCATATGTAATCAACCAAACATGGCCACGCTTATATAGCCTCCGCCAGGGAAGTTCTACTCATTGCCTTCTCGTGGCGGGGGTGTTGTTTACAAAAATGAGAGGACGAAAAGCGAATGTCGGGCGCTTTAACCGGGTTGGTAGACATGGAGAGTCGACCTAGGGGATTTGGAAAACCCTGATTCCAAAAACCAATGGTGCACATGGGCTCCAGTATCCTGCGGGAAAAAATGGCGTATAAACCAATCGTTGGTCACCGGCTACCATGTGACTGGATCTCCTTACGATGCTCCACTGCTTGTGGATCAGACCTTCAAGTCGAAGGCTCCTTGTGTGGCCCTCTAAGAAACTCACCTGCTTCGGCTTGGGCACCCGGGCAGTATCACAGCACTCACACAAGTTAAATGAGATTTTTGTGGCGCATATGTATTTGGTGCCTTCTTGTACCAATATCTATTTGTTAAAATAAATAAAACAAGAGTCGTATTAAATTCAAATCGTAGAGTTGAATTCTGGTAATCAATACAAGATACCATTTCATTAAGTGTGTATAGTTAACAAGTATTATAGTATTTACTTCCTATTTGATTAAGTTCACAAAATGATTACTTCCTATTTACAATCTCGGAGAAAGTCATTAATATATATGTATACAGTACAGTAAGCAATTAAACAGTTGAATGATTTCAGGAATATATATATATATATATATATGTTTTATAGAAATACCGACTTAATCATGTGAATTATATTTACCGCATACTGAAATTACTCATATTCCAAATTAACCTTATGATTTTGTCATTAGTTGTAATGTATTAAAAAACAACTGGTAATATTAACCAACAAAGTGATTCTCATATAGTTATTCACATTTGGTTGATCACTGGGTAGTGATTAATATCATATGTGTCAAGTTCTTCTTAGTGTAGATCAAATGTTATTGACCAAGTTGCAATGTGGCTACTAGTCTAGGTGACTCGACATTGTATACACTATGTTTAGATTAGATGGTGGTTGGAGGTAGTCAACAGGAAACCATGGACTTGGTTTTCGTGCTCTTTGGCACTCATCAGCAAGTTGTACCTGTAGCATTTGATCTGCACTAAAAAGGACTTGATACACATGACATTGGGGTTACAGAGATGGTACAATCCACTGACTCAACACCTTACATGATTCCTTAAAAAAATAATTTCACACTTCTTCATTTGTCATCAATATTTTACGCATATTTCTATCTATGATCTTGTAATCCCCTCACATCTATATATTATATATATTTTGCTTTGTTGTTGTTTTTATTCACCCTCTAAATACACACATATATAGGAAAGTATGCTTAATGGACGTATACATCCAGTTGGACAAGTTGAAGGATTTTCAATTGAATTAGGCGCTAGTGGTTCATTCTATCCAAATCATATACGTCTTCCAATGAAAGCATATTTTTTCAATTTATCTGATGATAATGCACCATCACCGTATTTAGGCTATGCTGATTTAAAACAATTACCTAGTAATAAAGGTTATCATATACCGAAGAAAGGTTCTATTCAAGTAAGTTCATTGTTGTTGTTTGTAAGTTGTTATCAATCATTTAGTTAATTAGATAGCTAGTTATTTTGTTTAGTTAATGCATCTAACTCATTATTCTATGATACGTTAATGATGACCTATATTGTCTCAATTCTTAATCTTTTCTATAATCACTAATAGTATTACTACTTCTACTAATCTAGGATTTGCTTTGATAGTATCATCTCACTACATTTTCTTGATGGAGTTTTGTTCTCTGAGCTAGATGGTTCAGTCGTGGGGCTTTCATTGTTCTTCTGAACGACATCATCAGCACAAACTTCAGATACAAGTCTATCTAGCTCAGAGAACAAAACTCCATCAAAATAATCCACCTGAACTACCAAATGCCCTGGTATGGCCGAGAGTGGGGTGGGTCCGCCCTCCCTCTCGAAATGTTCTCACACGGCTACGCGTACACAGCCTCTGCCAAGGAAGTCCCACTCACTGCTTTCTCGTGGCATTACTGTTGATTACAAAATTGAGAGAGCGGAAGACAAATGTCCGGCGCTTTAACCGGATCCCAAACCAATGGTGCACATGGGCTCCAGTATCCTGCGGGAACAAATGGGGTATGAACCAATCGTTGGTCACCGGCTACCATGGGACTGCATCTCCTCACGATGCTGCACTGCCTTGTGGGTCACACCTTTAGGTTCAAGGCTCGTGGTGTGGCCCCCTAAGAAAACCACCTGCTTCGGTCTGGGCACCCGGGCAGTATCACAGCCCATACACAAATATGACGAAATGTCGATATTTATGGAAAATACTTGTCTTGCTTCGATTAACAATCAAATGATTCACACTATTATTATTATTATTATTATTATTATTATTATTATTTTTATCTTGACGTCACTTATTCACTCTCTTTTATTCCCACTCTGCGTATCCTTATTTTTCGACTTATACAGCAGCTCGCCTATGGTAGAAACTCGGTTCTATCTAAACGTTCTCGAGTCACTGCCTGGTTGAAAATTGTGTGCTACCACCAAATACGAGTACTGAATCATTTTTTTTTCCGAAACCACGTGCACCATTCAAACTGGCTGCCTTCAACGTTCGCACACTTATGCAGGTTGGACAACAGATAGGGCTGGCTATGTCTTTGAAAGTCTTAATATTGATGTTTGTTGTCTATCCGAGACCCGTATTCAAGACTCTGGCGAAGTACTACAAATTCGACCTCCATCTGTCGCTTCAAAAGGCTTGTTTTACGTGCGCTTATCCGGGGACCCTGTGGCATCTTCGTCTGGCCTTGCTGGCGTTGGTGTCGCACTAAGCGCTAGAGCTGAGGCAGCACTAATCGATTGGATCCCCATTAACAGTCGGTTATGTGCTGTTAGATTAGAGAGTTCCATCAAAGTGAGAAGTCGGCGTGAGAAACGCTGTCTCTTCGTCATCTCCGCCTATGCCCCGACAGATTGCAGCCCGGATGCAATCAAGGATGAGTTTTACCACCAGTTATCTGTTCTTCTCCAGAAAGTGCGTTCGACAGATATTGTAGTACTAGCCGGAGACTTGAATGCTCAGGTCAGGCGTCTAGGCACAGAAGAGAGTCGTTTAGGTGGCCGATGGGGACTTGTTGGTCGCAGGACAGATAACGAGGACCGTCTACTGCAACTGTGCACAGACCACAACCTGTTTCTGGCTAGCACTAACTTTCGGCACAGTCGTCGCCGATGTGCCACCTGGCGTCCTCCCTCTTCATCTCAAGCCTGGACTCAGATTGATCACATCGCGATCAGCTACCGCTGGCGTGGTTGTGTACAAGACTGCTGCTCCTTTTGGAGTACCTATCTGGACTCTGACCATGCCTTGGTCTGCGCCAATCTTACCTTACTTTTCAGTGGCCAACGAAGTGACCGTCACCAACGGATTGGTGTTAGCAAGCTGGTTGTTGCTACCTTGACGTGGTGGTCGGGCTTGCCTATCGTGATGAAGCAACCGAGCTATACTGGCTGGAACAACCGTTCCTCAAGGTCCTACCATGTCAGACAGGTCGGTTGAAGAGCGCTAAGACTAAAAGCAACAAACCCAAGGTTCGAAGGCGAAGTCGTACTGCTGACTGTACAGAGGTGTGACAGCAGTAAGGTGTTTCCTTCAGACAACCAGCATGACAGCGATGCTGCCTTCCCACAAGGAGGGGTGGGGTTAGAAATGGTCGACCCTAAAAATGCACACCTCACCTTACCTCACGGATTTCCGTCTCCGGTGGTAAGGCCCTTTGAAGAACGGAGCTAACACGTCAAAAACCTCCCACGAAAAGGCCGTGCGCGACCGGCCACAAGCAGTTGTCGAATGGGCACTGCGGTCACGCTCTCAGGTCACTGAGACCGCCTCTAATCCAATTTCCTTTTCAGGTACCTCCAGAAGAACCCTTCCACGGTGTGGGCAACCGGGAAGTGATAACCGTCCTCATACCTCTAACAGCACCCAAGACCACTGTATTCATCAACCTCAAGCTGGTTGCAACTTCTGTTACAAATAAGTATCGAACCGAGCTAGCCTCTAGGCTAGCTACCACTCCACCAAAAAGTATAGATGAGCATTGGTTGCAATTGTATGACGACATGAAAATGGCGAGTACAGTCAGTTGTGGGTTCGCGAAACGTCCCGCTTATAAGCACTGGGTTTCTTCAGGCTCCTTACAACTCATTGAAGCCCGTCGGTCTACTCCGGGTGACCGTTAGTTTGACCATAAACGAAGGAAGTTACGTGAGGAAATTGGGCAAAGCTTGCGTAAGGACCGAGAAGCCTGGTGGTCGATGCGTGCTAATGGGCTGGAAGCAGCAGCTGCATCTGGTAATTACCGGAAGCTCTTCCAACTCATCCGAGCCACTGGCAGCAAAAAGTCTAGTGTGAGCGAAACAATCTGCGAGGATGATGGGATGCCAATCACTAACATCCATCAGCGCATTGGACGATGGGCAGAATTCCTCGAAGAGCAGGTCAACTGGCCTGCTGCTCCGACAACATCGGTCAGACTGTCCTGCCCTCCATGGCCGGTGACGACTGATCCACCAAACGATGAGGAAGTCTGCAAGGAACTCCAACTCTTGAAGCGTTACAAATCACCTGGCCCAGATGACTTACCTCCGGCTCTTTTTAAAGATGGTGGTGACTTTTTGACTAAGGAATTGACGACGTTGTTTACCAAGGTTTGGGAACTAGAGAGTGTACCAACGTCATGGAATGAGTCGATAGTTGTCCCTATCTTTAAAAAGGGTTCACGTCGTTCCTGCAACAACTATTGGGGGATAAGTCTACTTCCGATTGCGTCCAAGCTATTGGCTTCCTCATACTTTGTAGGTTGTTCAAAACCCGAGAAAGATTGACTCGCGAGAAGCATGCTGGGTGTCGTTCTGGTCGATGATATATTGATCACATCTTCACCGTCTGCCAAATGGTGGAACACTGTCATACTTATCACAGGCCAACAATCGTATTGTTTCTTGACATCAGGGCTGCTTTCGATTAGTTGGACAGGACTGTTCTCTGGGATTGTCTATTGAAGAAGGGTGTGTCTGAGAAGTTTATTAACATTTTATAAACTCTATATACAAACACCTCAGGCAGAGTGAGGGCATACAACCACCTCTCTCCATTGTTCCATTCGAGTAGTGGGGTTAGGCAGGGTTGCCCAATCTCACCATTCCTCTTCAACTTTGCCATCGATGACATTCTGGAAACAGCTCTGATGAATGTAAGTAATGGTGGTGTGGATCTGTTGCCTGGAGAAAGACTTCTCGACCTTGAGTATGCGGACGATATTGTCTTACTGTGCGATAATGCCCAAGGCATGCAATCCGCACTTAATCAGTTGGCAATCAGTGTCCGTAGGTATGGTATGTGCTTTGCACCTTCGAAGTGCAAAGTACTTCTACAAGACTGGCAGGATTCCAATCATGTACTCACCATGGATAGTGAGCAGATAGACGTAGTCGAGAAGTTCGTGTATATGGGTAGCTGCATAAGTGCTGGTGGGGGTGTGAGTGATGAGATCAATGCACGAATAGTGAAAGCCAGAGCGGCTTATGCCAATCTGGGCCATCTTTGGCGCCTTCGTGATGTTAGTCTGGCTGTAAAAGATCGGATCTACAACGCGTCGGTGAGAGCAGTTTTGCTCTATGCTTGTGAAACCTGGTCTCTCCGAGTTGAGGACGTTAGACGACTCTCTGTGTTCGATCATCGCTGTCTCCGAAGGATTGCTGACATTCAGTGGCAACACCATGTCAGTAATGCAGAGGTTCGGCATCGTGTGTTCGGGCACAGAGATGATAATTCAATTGGTGTCACCATCTTGAAACACCGACTTCGGTGGCTTGGACATGTTCTCCGAATGTCGGCCCAGAGAATTCCACGTCGTGCATTATTTGCCGACTCTGGGACTGGTTGGAAGAAGCGGAGAGGTGGTCAGTGCATGACATGATGTCGTGGCATGAAAGAAATCTGCAAAGGACTGGCTTGTGTTGGTCCTTCACGACTCTCTGGTTGGGGTCTGAGAGATGGTGCTACACAGTGGCTAGAGACGTTATCAGATATGGCTCAGAATAGAAGCCAGTGGAGATCCTGCTGTAACCTTCTTTTACTTTCTTCATAAAAAGTGGTTGTGTCTCCCTTACCTGAAAGATTTCTTCTGATTGTTGTGTTTAACTGACTGACTAGCTGACTCATTTGTACATAGATCAAAAGTAGCATTAACTAGCTTTTACTTTGAAAATCGTATAAGCTTTAGTCCCTCTATAAAAGAGAATGAATTCTATCGAGACCATAGAGATATGTTTTGTTATTGATTGAAACTGTCAAACAGAATCATAAATTTTTTGTTTGTGTTAAGTCAGTTAACTTAGTGACTACATTCATACTTGATCATAACGGAAACTGATCTTCAAATTGCAACATCCATTAATATTATTACGATTCCAGCCTCACCTGTTTACGTTGGGGATATTCAGTTAACAAATGAAGTCAGTAGTATA